GCACCCTTTGCCTTACCTCCGCCTGGCCTGGTCCTGCCTCTCTGGGAGGCACCCAGGAGGGAAAATCCTGTGGCTCTGAAACAGCCCTCACTTGGGCAACCTCAGCTGGGATCACTCCTGGCTGTTCACCATCCACAGCCCCCAGGAGGACAACAGGAGGGACCACAGGGCTCAGCACCCCAGGTTCTCCCCAGACAGCTACACCAAGACCTGGGAAGGGTTTCTGTTTATTTGGCAAAAAGCAGGGACTGTGTGCTGGAGGAGCAGGGGCTGTGTCCGAGTCCTGACAACAGAGCTTGGAAGAAGGATGATGGAGCAGGAGCCTGGAGCTTCAGAGCATGGGTCTTGCATTGCTTGGCAAGAGCATCCACGAGCCAGTCTGCACTTTCTGGAAAACAGGTGGGAGGTGGTGTCTGGGTGAGACAAGGAGACCAGTGGGACTTTCCATTAGGTTCAATGCATTCTTCTCCAGTTCTCCCCAGATTTGTAGGGTGAGGCATCTCCAGTAATGGATTTCTAGTAACCCCTATGGCTGTGTGGTGGGAAAGTACAGGTTAGGGGGGCAACAGCAAATATGGTTTGCATGGTGAGACACCGACCCACTCTGGCCAGGTTTGCCAGTCCACAAGCCCAGGGTCGCTTTGGCAGAACTGCCTGGCCCTCACTGCTCAAAAGGCTGGGCAGACATTTCTCTGGTGGTTTCAGCTCACGTGCCCATGTTCAGTGCCAGACACTTCCCACTGGGGGTCTCTGGACACTGCTCCTTGGGAGTCCCTGGGTACTGCTACCTGGGGGTCCCCGCTGTAGAGCAGTATGCAAAGGAATGGTCCTACCTGTGTGCAGGGTCCTGCACCAGTTCTAACAGCTCAACCCCAGAGGAATTCAAAGAGCTCTTGGTGGCCCTTGCCTTGGGGGCACCAAGACGGTCAATTTCCAGGAGAGAACATTGCAAACACCGTTTTGCACTGTGGCAACTCACCTACAGTTCACCAAGTCTGCATTCCTCTGTGGAAACAAAGAGAAAGCCTAAGTCTGGCACTGTGGTCTGAATAGTCCCATTTAGCACCCAAAATAGCCTACTCAGAAGGAACTTGTGGGTTTCTGCTTGCTCAGTGTGACCAGCCAGAACACTGCTGGCTGCCAGCACTCCATCCTGCCAGCTCAGACCACAAAGTGGTGGTACTGATGGGCTGAGCTGGTCCCTGCGTGCATGTCCCTGTATTGGCCCTGGGCAGTGCTCACCCTGCCTGGGCAAAATCCAGATTGTCTCGTCGGTGAAGCCATTCAGCTTAGCAAGTCTCTTGAACAGCATCTTGATTTTGGGTCTCACCCACTGGGTTCTGCCTAAAGACAAAGACATGAGTTAGCTCCAGGCTGTGCCTGACCCTGCATCTCCGGGGAAGCTGGTGAGTGTGTCCAGCTGAGGGTGGGATGGATGGCAGTCCCTGGGAGAAGGCTGGAGGCACTGGTGGAGGTCCCGGACAGCAGTGGTGGCCAGGCACATGAGACACCCCACCCAGGGTACAAGATGAGCCAGAGGTCCTGACACCAGCACAGTGACTCCTCTCTTGGTTCCTGTCCCCACTGATTCTGTTCTGCCTGTGCAGCAGGACCCCCACTCTCCACCCTTCTCCACCAAGCAGCTTACCCAAGGCCATGGACTTGCAGCACAGTGCTGAGAGCCTGAGCCCCAGCCTCCCCTGCCACCCCAAAATACTGCTCCTTCCCTGCCACACAGGGAACACATGATAGTCCCTGCCCCACTCCTGCACCTCACCCAAGGCAGAAGTGGAGAGAGAATGTCCCCTGGCTCCTGGCTTTGCAGGACCCTCAGAGCAGTTCACCACTGCTGCCTACGCACTGTAAAGTCTCAGCATATGCAAGATCTTCCCGTCTTCTTTCTCTCTGGTGGCAAAGACAACCATGTAGGACCTGCCATCGGTGTCCACCAGCCGCACTGTCTTATTGCCTCTGTCTGCAAAAGGACGTGGAGAAAAATTAATTACTTCCTCCTGAAAACCCCCATGCTACAAAGGGGCTGTTAAAGAGCATGAAGCCCACCAAGCCTGTCATTCCTTGATAACTCCCCATTCTGGTTTCCCTCTTGCTAGGGCTTCTCTGAAAGCCTGGGGAACCCACAGACCACAGCAGAGCAGAGGGATGGGGAGGCGAGGGCAGAAAGGGCTATGGATGGTCAGTGCAGGCTGTTGCCAGTGTCAGACTGTTCCTTGGACTGGGTATGGTGGAAAACCACTCCTGCTCCATCCCCATGGAACATCCACTCACAGCCTCTTTGCTGAAGGAACCTGCTTTTCCCTAGGGTTTAAGCTTGGTCTCAATGTGTTCATCCCAGAGGAAGGGATTGCAGGGTCTGCCATGCTGCTGGGCCACCAGCCCTGGGGTGTAGCTGGCACCTGGACACAGAGGGATGTCCCACCCAGGATACAGGAGGGGCAGGCAGTCCTGAGGACCATGTCCCCAGGAACAGCCAGCTGCTTCAGGCAGGGATGGTGGGACATGCCTCTATCCTGCCCCAAGGGCCAGGCACCCCCACTCACCAGAGCTGTAGTATTCACCCGGGCTGCCTGTTGGCGTGTAGATCGATTCAAACTTCATACATCTCTCAGGGCTGCAGAAGAGTGAAGGATGCTCCAGCTGAGGTGAAGTGACTCCCTTTCCCCTCCCCTGTTCAAGGGTTGCTATCCCAGATGTGAGACTTGCTGTTCAGAGGTGGGATGGTGTGGCCAGGGGAGGAGGGGACAGATACCACCCTTGGAACAATGGGTACCTGGGATGGCAGGGGACAGTGCTGGCACTTGGGGATTATTGATGCCCTCACTCATGCTCTGAGCATCTGGAATGAGGCTGGTTCTGCTGGGAAATTTGTAATTGTAGGGTCCCGTCCCACCCTCTGTGGTGGCACTGGTCCTGGCCGGTGTTGCTCTGATCCTGCCCTAAAGACGGGGTGCCCACAGCTGTCCCAAGCCCCTGGTGTTCCTGTCGCAACCCCTGCCCAGGTCTTCGGTGAGTGCACTGAGGTGAAGACCCACCAGTGAAGGTCCAAGGAGGAGGTTGGTCAAGTGAAGCCTGTGGAGAAAAGCATGTGGGACTTACGTGGGAATTGCAAAGGAGACCTTCAGGTCACCATTCCCCAGGACCTCAATGTTGGCCATTGCCATCTTCAGTTGGTCCTTCTTTTGGAGGTAGACCTTGGAGTCAGATGCCATAGCAGTGATGTACCATGTCCCTGCAATCTGGCAGTGAGAGCAGGCTGTGAGTCCAGAGGAGCAGTCTAGAGTGTCCCCTCCTCAGGGACAAAGCCCTGACAACCTCAGTGCATGGAACACACACATCCCATTCCAGAAACAGAATTCCCTTAGGGACACCTATGCAGAAGCTGGATGACTGTCCTCACCTGGGTGTGTCAGCAAAGCAATGGTGGCTGTAGTGACCCCAGCTGTCCCCAGTACCAAAACACCT